AAATCCAGGTAGATCACATCCACTGCAACACTCTGATCTATACTTCTACTTATTTCTTTGTAGAATGCAATTAGGTTAGTTTGACATAACCTATGTTTCATAAAACCATGCTGATTATTGCTAATTACAAAGTTCTTCTCAATGAATTCCTGAATATTATCCCTTAATAGCCCTTCAAATATTTACCCAGTCACCGAAGATAAGCGCACAGGTCTATAATTTCCAGGCAAGGACTTTGAACCCTTTTTAAATATAGGAACAACATCTGCCTTCCTCCAATCCTCCGGTACAACACCAGAAACAAAAGAATCTTGAATGGTTAAATACAGAGGTTCACATATTTCCCCACTTAGCTCCTTAAGAATACGGTCAGGCCAGGAGCTTTATTTACATTAATTTTGTTTAACTGCTGTAGCAACTTGTCTCGAGTTATCTGCAGGTTTTTTCCAGCAATAATTTGCATATCTCTTTCCATAGGATCCTCATTAATATATACTGAAGAAAAATAGTTATTTAAAATGTCTGCCTTTTCCATAGAAACATAGAATGTGACGGCAGATAAGAACCATTCGGCCCATATAGTGTGCCCAATATTTCAAAATACTTTTAATTAGTCCCTGGCCTTATCTTAAGTCTAGAAGAGCCTTATGCCTATCCTGTGCATGCTTAAAGGACCACTATAGTCACCCAGACCACTTCAGCTTAATGAAGTGGTCTGGGTGCCAGGTCCAGCTAGGGTTAACCCTTTTTTTTTTTTTTTTATAAACATAGCAGTTTCAGAGAAACTGTTATGTTTATAAATGTGTTAATCCAGCCTCCAGTGGCTGTCTCTTGACAGCCGCTAGAGGTGCTTGCGTGCTTCTCACTGTGAAAATCATTGTGAATGCTTTCCTATGGACTGGCTGAATGCGCGCACGGCTCCTGCCGCGCATGCACATTCAGCCGAAGAGGAGGAGAAGAGGGAGGAGAGCTCCCTGCCCGGCGCTGGAGAAAGAGGAAAGTTTACCCCTTCCCCTCCCCAGAGCCCGGAGGGAGGGGGTCCCTGAGGGTGGGGGAACCCTCAGGGCACTATAGTGCCAGGAAAACTAGTATGTTTTCCTGGCACTATAGTGGTCCTTTAAACTCCCTCACTGTGTTAACCTCTACCACTTCAGCTGGAAGGCTATTCCATGCATCCACCACCATCTCAGTAAAGTAATACTTCCTGAAATTATTTTTAAACCTTTGCTCCTCTAATTTAAGACTATGTCTGCTTGTTGTGGTAGTTCTTCTTTTAAATATAGTCTCCTTTACTGTGTTGATTCCCTTTATGTATTTAAATGTTTCTATTATATCCCCCCTGTCTCATCTTTCCTCCAAGCTATACATATTTGTAACAGATCACCTGGCACCCCGACTGGGTACCTCCGTTGAAGGATGCTCCTAGTGCTACCCGAGGGCTGCAAGCACTCCACTTGACACCATAAGTACTGTAGACCCCAAGAACCGCCTTAGCTTGGTTGGGGTCTCGCCGTCTACTATTCACCCTGGACCTATGACAAGGCTCCAGGTTCCAGTGGGTGAACCTCTCTTTCCCCAGAGAGTGAAGGAACAAGCTCCTACATAAGCTGTGTGATTATGCAAGGGAATATGCAGAGCATAGCGATCCCTTGTAGCGGATTCCCCCAATAAGAGACTGGACTCTAAATTAAGGGTGAAGTAGAACTGAGGTTTAATGACACATACTCTGCTTTTATGCAATTCTCCCATGCAAGGGAGACACCCACAGACAATTAGGACTTATCCAATCACCAACTGGTTACAACCCACACATCCTCTCCCCTTGCCTGAGAGATAACATAATTAGCCGTACAGTTTAAACACACATTTTTACCCAATTTCTCTAACTTTAAAACTATACATCACATTTGCATACAACCTACATTTTCTGAATCAGCATTCATAGGGAACAAACAACCAAAAATCATTGAAATTCATTCAGCAATTCGGGAGTTAGCTGGAAGTCCTATTTTGACCAACCGCACGCACATTTTCATGCCCAAAACAGTTCCATAGATTTGGACTGTGCAGCCGGTCTATTCATCCCAATGCAAATGTCATTTGAATGCATGAACAGGTGCCATTCGTGCAAATACCAGTGTTAATGCGGCGTTAGAATTGTCGAACGCTGTTTGACTCCTTTCGAATGGGAAAGTTCCAAAGAAGGTAAATCTTCTGCGGTGTTCGAGTATCCGATTTTAGTTCTATGAACTCGACGGCAAAACACAGCTGACCGCGTTCGGCTGGATTAAAATGGCCGCTGCCACGTGTTCGTTTGTTGAATGGTGCCTGTGGAGTGTTGATCATTATTTAATGTGTAGTTTGCAATATATATATGTATTATATGGTATGGTGCATATATATATCTAATATGAATGTACATTTAGCTGTATAAAATAGGTGTATGAAATATTGCAGGCCTTTTTGCTTAGATTTGAAAAAGTTAAATTTTCAATGACATTTCCACAAGGTTAACAGCTAAAAGGTTGAAGTTAAATTAGAACAAACACATGTGTTGTCAGTCAAATGTATACAAAACACTTAATTTTGAAGCTAACTATAGGCAGAGCCATCTAGGGTATATCCCAAACTTAGATATTCAATACATTACATCATGCAACAAGTTAGAATACCTTTTTGGGAGTATTACACAGGTGGGGGCTGCTTTATGGAGGACAAAATGACTATTTAACTGAAGGAGAAAGAGTGTGACGTTGTCATTCACCATTCATTCATTCATCCATCTACTCTTACTCTGCCTGCTGTCACCACACATCTGAAAGGTATACAGGGACATATGCTGTAGCCACTAATACATTTGGTAAGATTATTTACTGACTATTTTTGCATTCTGTAACATTCATTCAATACACTTTTATCTTATATTTATTTGAGTCATTGTTTCATTTATTACAATATTATTACAGTGCCTTTTGGGTCTTCAGACACTGGATTGTTTTAGTGATAGTCAAGTTATCATCTAGAATGGTTAAGGAAAACAGTATTTATAAGTAATTTGGGAACGGAAGGGTCTGCTCCGTATACAGCTATACAGGGAGTGCAGAATTATTAGGCAAGTTGTATTTTTGAGGATTAATTTTATTATTGAACAACAACCATGTTCTCAATGAACCCAAAAAACTCATTAATATCAAAGCTGAATATTTTTGGAAGTAGTTTTTAGTTTGTTTTTAGTTATAGCTATGTTAGAGTGATATCTGTGTGTGCAGGTGACTATTACTGTGCATAATTATTAGGCAACTTAACAAAAACAAATATATACCCATTTCAATTATTTATTATTACCAGTGAAACCAATATAACATCTCAACATTCACAAATATACATTTCTGACATTCAAAACAAAACAAAAACAAATCAGTGACCAATATAGCCACCTTTCTTTGCAAGGACACTCAAAAGCCTGCCATCCATGGATTCTGTCAGTGTTTTGATCTGTTCACCATCAACATTGCGTGCAGCAGCAACCACAGCCTCCCAGACACTGTTCAGAGGTGTACTGTTTTCCCTCCTTGTAAATCTCACATTTGATGATGGACCACAGGTTCTCAATGGGGTTCAGATCAGGTGAACAAGGAGTCCATGTCATTAGATTTTCTTCTTTTATACCCTTTCTTGCCAGCCACGCTGTGGAGTACTTGGACGCCTGTGATGGAGCATTGTCCTGCATGAAAATCATGTTTTTCTTGAAGGATGCAGACTTTTTCCTGTACCACTGCTTGAAGAAGGTGTCTTCCAGGAACTGGCAGTAGGACTGGGAGTTGAGCTTGACTCCATCCTCAACCCGAAAAGGCCCCACAAGCTCATCTTTGATGATACCAGCTCAAACCAGTACTCCACCTCCACCTTGCTGGCGTCTGAGTCGGACTGGAGCTCTCTGCCCTTTACCAATCCAGCCACGGGCCCATCCATCTGGCCCATCAAGACTCACTCTCATTTCATCAGTCCATAAAACCTTAGAAAAATCAGCCTTGAGATATTTCTTGGCCCAGTCTTGACGTTTCAGCTTGTGTGTCTTGTTCAGTGGTGGTCGTCTTTCAGCCTTTTCTTACCTTGGCCATGTCTCTGAGTATTGCACACCTTGTGCTTTTGGGCACTCCAGTGATGTTGCAGCTCTGAAATATGGCCAACTGGTGGCAAGTGGCATCGTGGTAGCTGCACGCTTGACTTTTCTCAGTTCATGGGCAGTTATTTTGTGCCTTGGTTTTTCCACACGCTTCTTGCGACCCTGTTGACTATTTTGAATGAAACGCTTGATTGTTCGATGATCACGCTTCAGAAGCTTTGCAATTTTAAGAGTGCTGCATCCCTCTGCAAGATATCTCACTATTTTTGACTTTTCTGAGCCTGTCAAGTCCTTCTTTTGACCCATTTTTGCCAAAGGAAAGGAAGTTGCCTAATAATTATGCACACCTGATATAGGGTGTTGATGTCATTAGACCACACCCCTTCTCATTACAGAGATGCACGTCACCTAATATGCTTAATTGGTAGTAGGCTTTCGAGCCTATACAGCTTGGAGTAAGACAACATGCATAAAGAGGATGATGTGGTCAAAATACTCATTTGCCTAATAATTCTGCACTCCCTGTAGATTGCATAAAGACACACTAAGCTTAGAATGACCCGGAGTGACCTTTTGTCGGTAAAGGTCCACATCATACCTGAAGCGAGCCATAACTATCAATATTGAAGGATCACCGAAAACCGACAGCGCCCACTTCGGCTGCATCTGAAGTGCCAGCTTAAAAGTATAGAGCCTTTCTAAATGCTAAACTTGGCAAATTACCAGTAAACATACTTTTCATTTATTCCACCTGCATGTATGGGATGTGGAACTGTATATTTCCTCAGCTAAATTTGATTTCAAAGGTTTGAAATCCGATCAGCATTATCCAGGTATATATCTTCTTTTATAAAAATGTATTAATGTAAATTAGATTAAATTAAACCAGCATGTTTATCACCTCTCGGTAGAAATTCTTTAGGCTTGGAGCTATAATCCGTGAATGGTGAATGCAAGAGTGTGTTTAAATGGAGATTGAGTATTTGAAATAAATCTGATTAGTAAAGAATTTTAACAAAGTCCACGATTAAGATAGAAAAGATAGAATGTTAGGTTTTCAAAGTCCCAGAAATTCATTTGGAAAAGACCGTGTGTTAGATGTGTCCAGAGTTTGCCTTTAGCTGGGTCTTCCTCCTTTGCTTTTTGCTTATTGTTTTGCCCCCTGCCCCCACTCTTCTTAATTTAAAGAAAACCTTATCTTAAGTTTCTTTACATCACTAATTTAAAGTGACCAATGGGATTAGATGGATGTACCTTCTTTTCCTGATTGTCTTATAGACTTTGATCAATAGATGGCATTGTAGCATCACAAAAATGTATCCTTTCAAATTCCCACTACCACTTTCTATAATGGGTTAATTTAATTTCATGATGTATTTGACGTCACAGTTGTCTTATCGCTATGACACATCAATCAAACTAACTACCAACTTCACAGGGATGTTGGTCTTTTTTAGCAGACTGAATGTCTCCTTTTTGCGCCATAAAGTATGATTTTAACGCATCTGGACTTTGGTTAAATTTTATTTTACAATGGTTCCTTCTTGTAGGTGTACATTAAATTTAAAAAGTAAAATTAATTTCTTAAGTATATATCTAAAATATATATAAAATGTGTATGTCTGGGCTGTTTCTACTCCCTTGATGTGTTTCATTTGGTGTCTGGCTGTTGCTAGATGTGTAGTGTTAGTGGCAGTTAGTGCACCTAGGGAGATATTAAAATCCCCTCTTCTGAGTAACATACCCACTGTATTATTTTGTACTAAGGACATTATGTGAAATGTTTCATATTGGTTTCTGTTTGGGATGTAAAGTGCGACAAATGTTATCGGGAAAGAACCTATAAGACCCAGCAGTATAATGTACCGGCCTCGAATCGTCTGTAAGATGCTCTGTGTAGGTGAAGGGTATGTGAGACCCTATTAGGATAGCTACTCCCTGTGATTTACTTCTGGAAAAGTTGTTGTTGTAAATATGAGCTATTTTGTTCCCCTCAGGTGTGTTTCTTGGACAAAGACCACGTCAGCCTTTAGCCGTGTTATTTTTTTCCAGTGAATTAACGCCTCTGACATTGTATGACATGATGTTAAGGGAACCTATCTTGTAGACCAATTGGGCAACCACCCCCAGCGAGACTGACACACAATGAACTATATAAAGCGTTATAACTTAAAGTAAAATAAAATAGGTTAAGACACAATAAACTGTGATACACTGGACTGAAAGAAAAGAAAATAGAACAAAATAAATAAGGCTCTGGCAAAATAAATAAAGGCTCATGTACTGATTTTGTGGAACCACCATCCTCTATGCCTAAGGTGAGCAAGAGTGCACCCCAGGACAAAAAAAGGACGACAAGGTGAGGCTTAATAGAAAGCAGTTGTTGTTGCGGTATTCTATCTTAAGAGGAGTCGAGTTGAACAATAGTGGCTTTGTGAGATGTCTTCTTGGAGCTACTGCTCACAGAGACAGGAGACGTATTTGTAATATTGTTAAGCATGCAAAGCAGGAAGGGGAATTAGATGTACTTGTCCATCTTGAGAGAAATTATTTGGCTTGTAATGAGGCTTCTGAGGTAAAGGAAGGGTTTTGTGTTCTTGACAATGATATACGGCAGGTTGCTTCCACACTGTCATTCTCTGAAGTTCTGCCTGTGCATAACACTCAGAACGACAGGCGGATGCGGATTAGGGACTTTAATTTTTGGCTTGGCGAATGGTGTCGGGAGCAAGGATCTGACTTTTTCTCATGGTAGCTCTGTTTGGAAAGATACTGTACAAAAAAGATGGTTTGCATCTTTCTGAAAAGGGAATAAAGGATTCTCAGCGAGCAGTTCAGAGGTTTTGCTAGGAAGTATTTAAACTGGGGGGGGAGGGGGGTAAAAGGGTGACCACACATCAATCCAATTGCCCCCAAAACAAAAACAGAAAGTAACTGTAACGAGTGTGTTAAAATAATGATATGCTTAGAGTCATGTCTACAAATGCTCGCAGTTTAGAGAATAAGATCCATGAACTTATATTGGCAACTGATAATGTAGATTTAGTGGCTGTTACGGAGACATGGTATAATGAGGAAAAATGACTGGGATATAGCAATACCAGGGTACTCTTTATATAGAAAAGACAGAGAGGGCAGTAAAGGGGGAGAGGGGTGGTCCTGTATGTTTAGGATAGCATCAAACGTAGCCTAATAAAAGTTAGTGAGGCGAACATAGAGTCCATTTGGGTTACATTAGAATTTGGTAATCACACAGTAAGCTGTCGGAGCGAGCACATGTGCTGCAGGGACTTACCATCCGCCTCCCTGCACTTCCGGGTTCTGTGTGAAGTGCAAGGAGACGGATCAGTGATGATCTGCTCCCTGTAAAAAAAAATTAAGTTTAGTTAAACTCCCACCCCCCTTTACACATTTTAAATAAAAATTAACCCCTTCAATGTAGTCATTGATCAATTGGCAGGGCTTACATTTTACTGACATCTGATTTTTTATTTATTTTTTTAACCCTTGAGGTTTATTTTGTATTTTTTTTTAACCCTTTAGGGGTTAAATTTATTTGATAAATTTAAATATTTTAAAATTATATATTTAGCTAGCTGGGGTGGGTGGAAGTTAGTGGGGAATTGGGGGATTTTGGTATTAGGCCAGCTAGGGGTTAATGTTAAAACTAAGTTTTAAAATAAGCTTTAAAAAGTTAAAAAAAGGTTTTCAAAAATGTTTTAAGAATGTTTAAGTAAAAAAAACAAACAAAAAACACACCCTTTTATCTAGTCCAAATAAAAATAAACCTACTCAAGCTGCCAGTCGATCAGTGATCAAAATACAGATCACAGCTAATTTAACAAACGAAAACGGGAGCACACGGGCAGTTACCTTCCCTGCAGCTGGTCACAAAAATATGAGCCAGAAAACAAAGGCGGATCGGGCACCCCATTAAACCAAATTCCTGCTTGGCCCTCAATACAGAGCCTTGTCTCGTACTGGGGGGGGATTTATTCATATGGTTTTTCCTGTTCGGCTGTGTGGAGTGGGTATTATTATTGCCATTTATATAGCGCCAACAGGGGGTTAGTGTAGAAGGGATTGCAGGGGTTAATTGAGTGGTTGCTGGGACTAGCAACAGTTAACCAGGGGTCTGGTGTCATTAACCCTGTCACTTCCACACTCTCCCCACTGTCTCGGCTGGGCCTATAGCTCACGCTTGTGACAAACTGGTGGCAGCTGGTGGGATATATTTAGAGATTTTTAGTGCTTGCTAGATTTTACCTGTAAAGGGAGTCTTAGCACTAAAAGAAATTGCATACTTGTTTTTGTGTAATTTCCAAAGACCAAGCTCAGTGCTGATTTAAAATACATACAAAGTGCAAAACAGTTCTCCCCTCCCATCTCTTGTTTTTCTTTATCTATCCTATTGTGAATATGGAGGCCTATCGCAAAACAATCGAAAGAGGCCTTGGAATTGTTGTGCTGGGGAAAAGGATTTACCAACTTTTGGCAAAAATAAAGCACAACTTATTGCTGACCTTGTGGAGGCTGACAGCCATGTTTTCCAGCCAGAGACGGACACTGAAAGGGTTACTGAGCTCCCTACTACTGCAGGAGTGTTGCTCACTGGAATGCCTGGTGGTTGTACCCCTCTGTTAAGACACCCCTGGTATCTTTAAACGAAACCGCCGTTTAGTCGACCTTCCCCTTCTGCAATACCAATAATCTCCATTCGCATAAACTGTAGTGCACGAACCAAGCTCAGGGGAAGCGGCAATCTCCCGACCGGGATCCGTGAACGGCTCCAACCTCCCAAACGGAACTCCACGAACTGCTGCTAGCCGCCGAACAATAACATCCACCAAGCGGCTTTCGGTTCCATCCAGCAGTCTCTAAGCGTAAAGAAGAAATCCCCCCAATAACGAGACAGAAGCTCCGCATTGAGGGTCAAACAGGATCTCGCTTTACTGTGGGCTACCTGCCCGTATTTATGCAGGTCTCCCACTTGGTGGACATTCCCCTAGGGGACCAAATGGGAGACTGTAATGACAGACAGACATGGTGACATTCCAGACATACAGTCACAGCTTTTACCCACAATACACTATGGTTTCCTCCTCTCTGCCCTGGAGATAATTAAGAAGTAACTCAATTATCTCCAGGACAAGCCAGTCACCATTTTTAATATAAAACCAGAAAATACATAAAAATATATAACTTTACAAAAACCGAACATTTCCCATTCGCATCACATATCCCCAGTTAGCCTGGATCTGAGTGCATATTATTAGCGAATAGTGCTCAGATCCCACAGACACAGTTCAATCGACATGGAGTAAAAGTTCTTACAGTCCTTCGGTATACGAATGATTCCATGGGAAGGCTATCTGGGTTAAGTCCTTTTGTATGCTTCAAAGCTCCCGAAAGGTTAAGTCTTTTTGAATGCTTTCGGGGAGGCAGCCAGGCGTTCCATTGTTTCAGCGGTGTTCGGCAGAAAAAGTGTCCGTTTTTAGTTCCATAAAAATAGAGCCAAACACCGCTGGGCTTTCGCGTGGTTTAAAATGGCCGCTGCCTTGTGGTCGACATACGAACGACGACCACCCTGAATTCGTTTTAATTGAGAAGTGGTTAACCACAACATTCTAGTTGGGATCAATATGTTAACCAGCAGCACACTCGTCTCCTGGGTGGCCGTCCGTTCGGTAGGTTTGTATGGGAAAAACAGTCATTCGTATGGCTGAGGGGCACGGACAGACTGTGGGTCCAGGAAGGATGGCTGCAGGGAAACATACTGTTGGAGGAACCAGGAACCTTGTCAGTTTAGCACAACTCACGCATACACCTAAGCAACTTTCTGATTGTGAACCAAAGGTTCAGAGTCTGATAGTGCAACAAGCCCAGCAGACAGACCCCAAAATGAAAGAGATGATGGGTGTTGATACAGCACATCTATCCTGGGAGTTTTCTCTGTCTGCTTTTTTGTGTGCTTACCGGGGAGTGCTGCAGAAATCCATTGGTTTCTTCCCCTTACAACTACTACATGAGCGCAGTGGGTGTGGTTTAAGGGATGTTACCAGAGATCGATGGGAAATTGAAACAGGCAAATCAGGCATGTTTGTTGAGGGCGTAGCTGTGATATGGACTGATCACAACCTGCTGGTGTCAGGTAACAATGATAAACTTCTCCATTGGAGCCTTATCCTCCAACAATATAATTACACTGCCCAGCACAAAAAGGGCAGCTTGCATGGGAATGCAGATGGTCTGTCTCTGCAACTAGAGGGTTAATGGTAGACAGATAAATCAGCCTGTGGCTGAATTTTTCTGTCCACCATCTTAAGGGGGAGGTGTCATGCCAAAAGCATGAGTTGGTGTTTGATGTGTGTTGAGATATGTTGAAAGTTGTTTTTTTGTAAACCTTGGGATGACATTTATTGTGGTCTTTGATCTGGCACCAGGCTTAGACCATAAAACATCTAGATAGCCATCACCAGAGCTAGACACAAGGAACTGCATAGAGTAGACCAACCCCCTCTGATCCTCCCAGTGGTCTGCCCACTGAGAAACAACTAGTTTTGATATATAATGAGGGTGCTGGACTATCCAGGGAGTTCAGTTATTCATTTTTCTTTTGTCAGCAGCTTCTAGGAGACCTATACCATCTGAGACGCCCACAAGAATTCTATATGGGGTAACTACATGTAAGGAATTTCTTGTGTTTTCTCCTATTTTATTGTATGTACTGTTTTGCAATTTGTTAACTGTATGCCATTTATTTCTGTATTTTGTACTCAGCACTGTGAATCTTTTTTGTCAGATTAAATGTCTACTTAATCAGCTTGTGTCTCTGTTCTCTATGAGCTTCACTCTCCAGAGGAAAGCTCAGGTAAACACGTTACCAAAAAGAGTTAACTATATGTGTTTGATCAGTAAAAGTAGAACTGTGATACTATAATTCTCCTGTGTGTGGGGTAACCTAAGACGCCCGGGTTTAAAAGTCTTGGTGGTGGCAGTAAGTGTGTACTAAGGGGGTTAGTGTAGAAGGGATTGCAGGGGTTAATTGAGTGGTTGCTGGGACTAACAACAGGTAACAAGGGGTCTGGTGTCATTAACCCTGTCACTTCCACACTCTCCCCACTGTCTCCGCTGGGCCTATAGCCCACGCTCGTGACAGATATATTTTGTGGAGCTTGGTTGGGGTAAGGTACCAGCGGTGAAGGCATTCCACATCATTATAGTCAACCTGGTGGTTGGGAGGAGTGTTTTGTGTGCGTATCGAAGGTGTTTTGGGGTCCATAGGTAGTCTGTTAGGAAGTTGAATTGAAATTGGTCCCTCTCCATGTCCACCCATTTTGTGTGGCCTAGGGGTGAGTGTGCCGCTATACTTGTTGCCAGGGCAGCAGCTTTGAAGTATAGGTGTATGTTGGGAAGGCCCACCCCTCCCTTAGCAGTTGTGTTTTGTAGTAGCGTAAGGGGAGGTCTTTTTCCCCCCCAAATGAATGAGTTACAGGAGGATTGTAATGCCTTAAAAAGTGCAAAACACATAAAGGAGTTTTGGGAGGGTCATCATTTTGAAAGTGTTAATCTTACCTAGCCACGTTAGGTGGGCCGCCTTCCATCCTACTAGTTATTTTGTGCACATCTGTAATAGTGGTGTATAGTTCTGTTTTATGATGCCTGCTATTGTAGGTGTTATTTTAACCCCTAACTATGTTAAAGTGTGATCTCTCCAATCGAATTGGTAAGAGGCTTTCAGGTTATCTATTAAGTTTTTAGGTATTCCAATAGGTAGCGCCTGTGTTTTATCCTGATTTAGTTTGTAATGTGATAGGTCCCCAAATTTTTTCAGTAAAGCAAGAATATGGGGTAACGTTTGTCTTGGATCCGATAGGGATATTATGATATCGTCTGCAAAAAGGGCAAGTCGGTATTCTTTTCCCTTTATGTTGATACCCTGTATGTGTTTGTGGTCTCTAATTTTTTGAGCTAGGGGTTCTAGGGAGAGGATATACAACAGGGGGGAGAGTGGGCAGCCCTGCCTAGTCCTGTTGGTGATTGGAAACTTTGATGATAGGAAGCCTCCACAGGACACCTTTGCAGCTGGAGTTGTGTAGAGTGCCATGATTTTGTTTATAATGAGTTGCGGAAAGCAAAATTTGTATAGTACTTTTTGCATATATACCCAGTTGAGCCTGTCAAAGGCCTTTTCTGCATCAAGCGCCAAGAAAAGGCCCTGACCCTTAATTTTCTCCAGCTCGGCTATGAGATTCAACACTTTCCTGGAGTTGTCTGACCCTTGTCTGCCTTTGATAAAGCCAGTTTAGTCATTGTTTATTAGTCTGGGCAGGAATCGGGCCAGTCTATTGCTGAGAAGTTTAGCATATATTTTTGCGTCGCAATTGAGTAGGGAAATGGGCCTGAAATTGTTACACTCTGTGGGTGACTTCCCTGGCTTAGGCAACGTCGCAATGTGGGCCAGCAGCAGTTCATCTGGTAGTGTCACTTTCTGTGTGATATGGTTGAAAAGATTTAGTAAATGGGGCCTAGAGTTGTTTGGTATGTATAGGAATTAGGTAGACCATCCGGGCCAGGCGCTATATTCGCCGGGAGAGAGTCGATTATGGAGGAAATTTCCTCAAGGCTAAAAGGGGTGAGGAGAGATTCTGCTTCTTCTTCTGCTTCTTCTTCGCTCATAGAGGGGAGTTTGAGGTTAGATAGGAACCCATCTATTTCAGTAGCGGAAGAAGTTGGTACATGTGGGTCTTTATTGAGATTGTAGAGGTTAATATAATAATTGGCGAACGTGTTCGCTATGTGTTGTGGGTCTAGTATTTTTTCCCCTTTGGCATTCATGAGGTGCGATATTTTTGCAGCTCTGGAACGTTCCTTGAGCTGGGAGGCTAATTTGGCTCCTGCCTTATTGCCTGAGGCAAAGAAGCCGTGCTTCATTCTTCGCAGCATTAGCGTTGACTTGGCTAATTCAAGGTCGCGCAGTTGACCCTGTAGTCGCAGGATAGTGGCATGGTGGGAGGGTGTTGGAGTTAATGTGTTTGAGTGCATGGCGTCAGTGAGTTCCCTGAGTATGTTAGTGTAATTTTCAAGGCGTTTCTTTTTGGCCTAGCTAGCGTGTTTAATGAAGCAACCCCTGATTACTGCCTTGTGTGCTAACCAAATTTGGTCTGGGGTGGAACTATGGTAATGCTGTAGGTCTTGTTTAAACTGTTCCACTACACTTGGGTCATTTAATAGCCAGTCGTTCAATCTCCAGTTGCCTCAGCCTTTAGTTGGGAATTGCTCTATCAAGGACATAGTAACGGGGGCATGGTCTGACCAACTGATAAGCCCTATGTGGGTTTTCTCTATTTTGGGGAGCAGCGCAAATGGAACCAAATACATGTCAATTCTGGAATAACAATTGTGCGCTGCAGAGTGGCATGGAAAATCTCTTTCGCTGGGGTGTTGTATCTGCCATGGATCTACATAGTTATGTACCATGAGAATGTGCCTAATGTGAGCAATTAGTTTCCCTCTAGCTTTGATGGTCTGTCTTTGTAAGGATTTCTGGTGTGAGGAATCTAAATCATTATCTAGTAAAAAAAAAATGGTATCTCCGCCTACTATTACCTCTCCAAATGCATGTTTCAAACACAACATTAAAAAGCAATTCCAAAAACTCAGTTTGTCGATCATTAGGGTTATATACATTAATAAATGTATATGGGTGGTTATTGATGTAACATTGTAGCACTACATATCTACCTTTCTTGTCCCCAATCTTGCGGACTAATGAGAAAGCCACGTCTTTGCTTATTAAAATGGACACTCCTCTCTTTTTTTTTTTTTGCGTAGCAAGCATGAAAATCTATTGGGTATGCTATTGAATTAAATTGTGGGCGATGGCCCCATTTAATGTGCGTTTCTTGGAAAAGTGCCACATGAGCATCTAGGGATTTGACCTCTTTTAACGCCTGGCGCCTCTTGTGTGGAGAGTTAAGCCCCTTGGTATTCAAAGAACAAATATTAAGCACCATGGTTTATGGTTATTGATCTCGTGTCACAGGAGGGAGGGATAAGGTCGGTAAGCCATCCACCCTTGTGTCCCTCAACCCATAGTCTGTGAGTACCTTAAGAGGGCCCATGGGCCAACAGCAGTGTTTTAGTATACGACCTAGGTCTTGAACTGCAAATCTGTCTAACACCCAGGGTATATTGATTAACGGAGTGGGGAGGTGACCCATGTGTGTTTATCACCACTCAATCACCAGGTTGAAGTTTGTGAGTTGCAGAATCAGAGTCTGGATCTGGAATAGAATCAAAGACTTGTTTATGCATCCTTCCTAATCTTTGGTGTAGGGCCTGAACATAGGCAGTCATACTACCATGCTGCATCTGGAGGGTTTGGGGAAAATAGAGGCCTGTCTTTGGGGCACATCCAAACAGGATCTCAAAAGGAGATAGGCCATGTCTGGAATTGGGGGTGAATCTCATAGAAAAGAGTGCTAGGAGAAGGCATTCAGCCCAGGGCTTCCCTGTGTCTTGCATGGCCTTTGCAATCTTGTTCTTTAAGGTGCCATTTGCCCTTTCTACTTTCCCACTACTCTGGGGGTGATAGGGGGTGTGGAAGGCCTGACTGATCCCTAAGGCTTTCATAATTTCTTGCATTATTTCCCCAGTTAAATGGCTACCTCTGTCACTTTCAATCACTTTAGGTACTCCATATCTGCATACCAGTTCCTTCAGAAGCTTACTTGCATTGACCTTCGTTGTGGCTTTCGACACTGGGTAGGCCTCAGGCCAACCTGAAAAGAGATCAATGCACACCAACACATATTCTTACACTCCTACCTTAGGCAGTTGAATATATTCTATCTGCAGTCTTTGAAACGGGTAAAGTGGCCTTGGTGTGTGCTTACTTAGTGTTTTCACAACTTGTCCTGGATTGTTTCTAGCACAAATCATGCAAGCTTGGGTGTGTTTAGCTGCCACAACAGTAAATCCGGGTGCTACCCAATGGGTGTTTACTATGCTGTTCATGTGCATCTTGGATAGATGTGTAGGTCCATGAGCAATCTGGGCCATCATGGGGTACAACACTCGTGGTAAACACAGTCTTTTACCTTTCCTCCACATTCTTTCATCATCAGGTTCTGCATCTTGTTTCCTCCAGAGGTCATGTTCTTCCTTGCTTGCCTGTCTTTGTAAGCTCAACAGTATATTGTAGTCAATGGCGTGATCTGGAAGAACAACTTGTAAGAAGTTATTACCTGTAGAGGGATGAACTTGGATTGCTGCTTGCTTGGCAGCTTCGTCTGCTTTGTGGTTTCCTCTTGAGATTTCATCTGTGATCTTCACGTGAGCTGCCACCTTGATGATAAGGAATATATGAGATCTGGTCTGCCTAGTGCAACACACAGAGATGAGGAAGTCTGACTTGAAGTGAATTGCTCAGAACTGAACTGAGGCAGGGATACACCCAAAACCTGTCTGGAGATATGAGGAACAGTAGTACCTTCAAGGCAGTGTGTTCAGGAGCTAATTCGATTGTGAATGGCTTAATCGATTAGATTAGATATAGTAGTTATGTCAACATCTGGAAGAGTTGATGATGATTAAAATAAGATGTATGGTGTGTATACCTTTAAATCTGCTACAGGCAGATTCTATCTGTTACACACCAGATAATCTGCTTAATAGAAAGCGACTACTTGTTACAGAATAACAACATAAAGAATAGTTATCTGTTTAGTATTATAATACACACAATTATATATAGTGTATTTATCTTTAAATCGTCTGAAAGTAAGCTAAATAGTGCAAAAACAGTACTAAACTTTCAGTAGAGAGATATATAAAATTCTTGATCTCTATACTTAGTATTATGATAAGATCACTTGAGATGTGAGTCAGCAGATGAAAATTCCAAAAAAAAACTATTTGGAAGATAAAAGTATTTAAAAATAATGTAGAAATTTATTCATAATACATTCAAAAAAAATGGATAAAAGAATAGTTAAAAAGTGTAATAAGAATAAAAAATTCAAAAATAAGAGCCAGGAACGATTAACAAGTCATTTGCCAGCACAGATATTGTTCATATGGCATGATACCCACTGAGACTGTTGAGGATTACAGTGGATACTTTGTATCAAAACTGAATAGTTGTACTTGCCGGCTGCTGTGAGGTTGGCGTGCGTCCCAAACCTCTCTTTGAATATCAGATGCTGGCAGTCCGTCGGTCCCCAGAATGTGAGTGCTGTGCGGGGAGAGGAGAAGCTCCTTCTGCTGGCGTCTGACTGTTTTCGTATCCTGCTCACTATCAGTCTGTTGGTCTTACGCGTTTCGTGGGTGTCAGCCCCACTTCCTCAGAGACATAGTAGAGCTGGGTCTTGATGCACATTTTATATACAAGACTGATGAATAAACGAATGAACGAATATTCTACATGTGTGGCTTATTGACTAAACATAGTAATACTATTTGAGTTTATACATATGCAGTAGTTTAAAACACAATAGGAGTTTAAAACATACAGAATAAATGAGAGTTTACAGACATGCAAAATAAATACAATGCAATTTATATTAAAAAAAAAAAAAATGTTCAGTGGTTTGGAATTAATAAAATTATTTAAAATAAATATTTAAAATAAAATAGATATGCCCTTAAAAATGATGAATTATAATCTTATGTGGGAGTTGGTGATATATAAGGAATAATATTAGAGATCAGTTAATCATGTGGTTTATTAAGTTGTCGCTAGTATATTGTGAAAGGGTTGTGGAAAGGTTATAGAGGGAGTTATATATAGAGTCGCATAACGATATGTAAAGAATATCTATACTAGATTTCTTTGATTAGTTAATCAATAGGTGGTACAATGACCTCAAAAGATAGAATTGAGAATTAGATAAGTATGGGATCAGACTATATATTAAAGATCAAATGAAATAGTGAATTATATCAATCAGTGTATGTTATGGTGGTCTTAAATAATACAAAACATACTAGTATAAGAATAAATAATGAAGATAAAAAAGTATATATATATATATATATATATAGACTGAAATGAACAGATAAATAAGTGAATATAATGAGTGAACCACTAGGTGGTACAGAAGTGGGAACCATAAGAACTATTAAGAGCTCTCTAGTATAGTAAAGTAAATGACAGTCCAAATAGTGTGGACCATAGAAGCACTAAAGTGCAAGAAAGTGAAAAGAAAGAAGTGAAGAGAAAAAAAAAAAAGGGAAGGAAGAGGAAGAAGTGATATATATTTATAGTGAATGAATGTTCCTAGAATACGTGAATACGTGAATAAAATGGATAGATTAAATTAAACACATACATAAATGTTAAGTGAGAGATAAAGTGTGAAATAGGAAGTATCTGAGCCATGATATTTTGATATTGTCTATAGAAATGCATTCAATTCAAAATCTATGTTAAGGCCTTTGGGGGCCAAAGTCTCTAGGTGGAAAATCCACCTTGCTTCGGTTTGGTCCAGATTTTTCTCTATATCGCCCCCTCTCTAATGGACA